GGGCGAGGTCTGTGGCACGTGTGTCCTCCATGGCACCAAGACCTGGGCCGGGACGCTCCAGGAGCCTTGGCTCCAAGAGTACCATGAGGGTCCCCAGTGGGCCTCCTGGCCCCACTGCTTTGGAGCGCTCTGTCTGAACATCAGTCGTTGTCTCTGACAAGGAAAAATCCAAGCCCGTGACACGAGGATCGGATAACTGTGTGCTCGATCCCATCAGGTAGGTCTGTTGGGTCTGGTTTCCCATTTCCTTGCTCTCAAGGAACGCTAGTCTTGCGGAACTGCAAGGTGCCAGGTTGGAGGGACACGTGGGGGTCCAGAAGCAGGGAGAGCAGTAAGCGGTGTGAACGCCCGCCCTCCATGTTCCCAAAGTCTACACGGGTCTTATTAACCCAGCTCGGTCCGCTAAAACTCCGGTGACTTCAAGTTACTTAAGACGCGGGTCAAAAGGGACGGTGGTGGATCAGATCAACCCGACAACAGTCGTCTTTGTCCTCCCAAGTCCTTGCACCGCGTGTTTCTTCGGGAACCGGTCAGGAGCCACAGGGTGGGGTCTCCAACTGGAGAAGGAGCAGCCCTGACGTAGAGTGTAAGACACGCATTGAGTTACAGAGTCGTAACGCCTCTAGTTAATTGAATGGAACTTTTTCGTTTGAAACCTAAATTGTGGCTTCAGGTTAATCAACACGAAATGTGACGTTGGATTTAATTGTACCTCTTGAATTATGCATTCCTTATTCTGACATGTGGCTGTCAGGCACCAGCTGTGTGTGTGTGTTTGTGCATGTGTGCACGTGCGTGCGCACTCGCAGTGCCAGTTAGGAAGGGCGGGCCAGAAGTCACATCAGACGTTTGTTCTTCTGGATCCTTTAAAGAATGGAGAGGGTTCTGGGATCTTGATTTAAGAATTCCCGTTAGACGGTTTGTGAGCTCGAGCCCCGCGTCTGGCTCTGCACTGACAGTGCAGAGCCTGCTTGGGATTCTCTGTCTCCCTCTTTCTCTGCATGCCTGCCTCTCTCTCTCTCTCTCTCTCTCTCTCTCTCTCAAAGAAATATTTTAAAAAGTGCTGTCAGACATGATATATCCATAGCGGAATGCTACTCAGCAGTAAAATGGGATAAATGTTGATATACGACAACATGGATGAATCTCAGAAACATGCTAAGTACAAGAAGCCAGATGTAAGCGACCAACTCTTGTCTGATTCCATTTATGTTAAGTTTCCAGAATTGGCGAATGCAGAGAGACAGAAGGTGGGTTCGTGTTTGCCGGAGGCTGGAGGAGAGGGGGAGTGGGCAGCAGCTGAGGATTTGGGGAGTCACGGGAATGTTTTAAAGTTACGCTCTACTGATGGCTGTACAACTCTGTGAATTCACTCAGAGCCGTTGAATTGTGCACTTAAGACAGGCGACTTGTGTAGGTGAACTGTATCTATCTCAGACTCTTGTTAAAAAGCTACCCCCAACCCAGCACCATGAGATGCGCACAGGGCACGTGGGGGGGGGGGGTATTTGGGTAGGTAACTGGGTGCACACCCCGTGTGCTGCACGCTGTTCCAGCCAGGCCTGGGCGCTCCCACAGGCCCAGCACGCTCGTCTCCCTAGAGAGCCCAAGTCTGGCACGTGGAGCCTGTGAACAGTTGCTCGCCCGTTCAGGTCAGATTTGGTCACCAAGTTCAGATCGGAACAGGTCTTGTGGCCAGATGAGCCACACAAGAACCCCAAGTCCTTCGCTTTCGGGGTTTGGGAGATTCTGGAACGGTACGATGAGACATGTCGAACTCTTGATAGTGTCCCATTGCTGGTGACACTTAACAGGTGAGAATTCCGTGAACAGGCAGGCTCTCGTCTAAGCAGGAGGAAACTGAACTCGGTGTAGAGAATCATCTTCCCAGACCCTGTGACGGCCTTTCCCCGCACGCAGTTTTCCCTTTTTGTGTACTGGCTAAAGTAATTGGAACAAATACGCCTCTGTGGCACCCACACCGGGCACCGCGCGTGGCCGGAGCCAGCCGCACAGACCTTACGCGGCAAGGTACGAAGAAGGCAGCTGGGGCCCGGGAGTGAGGGGACCGAGCCCAGCCACGTTAGCGCCTTCCCAGTTGCTTGGAGATTTCGTTGGCTCTTAAATCATCGCAGTTGCCATTCTGTACTTAGATCCCAAACCAGATGGTGTGAGGGAAAAAATAGAGAATTCCATATGGTCCTGGTGGGTTTTTTTTTTTTTTTCCAGAGTTCTCGTTTCTCTCCAGTGGGTGGGGGGGGGGAGGTTTGAGAGAGGCTGAGCAGATCTTTGCCAAAGGAAGACGCCTCTCCCACCTACGCAGCTCTTAGAGCCGTGACCCCTCCCCCTCCTAACCCCAACTCGCTTATTCCCCTTTAGAAAAGTCCAAATGGTTCCCCTTTGCTTTGCAAACCTTGATCCTTCGATGTTCCTCGTTTCTGGCGTAACTTCCCAGTAGAATTACATTTTGGGGACTTGGATGACTAACCTTTGCCATCGGTTTCTTTTTTCTTCTTTTTCATCTCGTAACTGCTTTGGCCAGGTGATATCCACATGTTCTCCAGGCCGACGGGAAATCCGAGGGTGGTGGCCGCGTGGACCATCCCCGGTGATGCTGCCCGGGGGCCTGGGCTGGTGGCAGTAGAAGGAATACTCAATGACGCGCCTGCCTTCGATGGAATGTCGTGCTTGACGTGTAGGGAATACTCGAGGCTGCCGTTGTCAGGTGTGCGATGGCAGGCTTCAGAGTGGGGTCTGAGAGGAGGGAAATCGTCTGCTAGAAAAGTGTGATCTGTGGACCCGCAGAATTGGCATCACCTGGAAGCTTATGACAAATGCAGTCACAGGCCCCAGTCTAAACCTGCCGGCTCACGATTTGCATTTCAACAAGACTTCCAGATGGTTCCAACGCACATTAAGGTTGAGAAGCACTAATTTTTTTTTTTTTTAATTGACTTCCTTTTAGATGTTTATTTTAAGAGAGAGAGAGCAAGCAAGCAGGGCAGGGGCAGAGAGAGGGGGAGAGAAAATCCCGAGCAGGCTGCACGCTGTTGGCGCAGAACCTGACGCGGGGGCTCGATCCCACGAACTACGGTTTCAGCCTACAGCGAGAGTTGGACGCTCGACCGACCGAGTCACCCGGGCGCCCCAAGAGAAGCAATAATTTAGAGGAAGGCTCAGAGTAAGAAGGGAGAACTGGGAAGGAATCGAAGTGATTTTATCCTCAAGAGATCTAGAAATCTCTCTCTGGAAAAGGCTGAGAATGGCTTCAGGGAGTCCTTCCCTCTGTGTTTATGGAGAGGTGGTCATTAAGGGACAGTGGCCTTTGATCTCTCACCCCTTTGTTGAAAATCTTGCTGAAGGAGAGTGGGGGAGAGGCAGGGAAAGCTGGAAAGGTTTGTTTCCTTGTGGCCAAGAGAGGGCGAGGAGAAGGTTACCGGGAGCTTGGGAGAAATTCTCAAATGTCCCTCCTCACCTTCTTGAATACAGTCCGGCGACTTGCAGGAGGCTGGCCCTTCACCGCTATCACCAGGTGGACCAGGGATGGCTCCTCAGCCTTCCGTCTGATAGCCGAGCAGCAGGACCGCCCCCTCTGCCCATCACCGCTTCCCTCTCTGCCTGGCTCCCTGCTCCAAACTGTTCTGATACTTGGTTTAAGACGGCCGGCCGTAGATCGTTCTGGAAGTGGAGAGAGAGAGCCCTCTCACATAGGAACTACTCACTCTGGAGGGTATGGGGAGAGCGTCGGGAGGGAGATGTGGGTGTTGCTCTGAGAGTCGAGCAGGAAGCCCACGTGCCGGGAAGTGCCATCGGGTGTGGGTCGCTGTGGGGTGTCGCTCTTTCCTAACCTGGGGCTGTCAGGCCGCCAAATGTGGGGTCTTCACTGAATACCCTTGAACTGTATTTCAAGGGGGGAAAAGAACCTTAATCTTTTTTGCGGACACCATCGAGGCTCTGCAGTTGGGTGTCCCCTGTAACCCGCGGTGTGGTCCTGCTGCTGGACTCCGATGGCCGGGCCTCCCTGTTCGCGAGAGTCTGGTTGGAGAAGCCCTCTTCCTTCACACGGCCCAGTCCGAGGGCTTCCAGTAAGTCATGGTGTTTCTGCTTAAGCAGAGGCTAACAGTGGACGCAGCATAAGTGTATTACAGCTTAGTTTCTTGCTATAATTTTTTTTTCATGTTTATTTTTGAGAGACAGATCATGAGCAGGGGAGAGGCAGAGAGAGAGGGAGACACAGAATCCGAAGCAGGCTCCAGGCTCTGAGCTGTCGGCACAGAGCCCGACGCGGGGCTCGAACCCACGAACTGTGAGATCACGATCTGAGCTGAAGTCGGACGCCCAACCGACTGAGCCCCCCAGGCGCCCTTCACTTATTCCATTTTCAAATCACCTGCGTGCGTCTTCACCAAAAAAATGTGCCGTATACGGCAGTTAACGATTTTATGGCATATTTACCAAAGACTATGATTATGTCAGCCAAATATATATAATTTCTTATTCGTGACTGTTCGTTTTTTTGTCAGCTGTGTTCTTAGCCTGTGATTAGCACCTGATTATGTAACCGTGCTCAGGGGC